GGTGGACTGATAGGCTGAAGAAATATTAGTATTCCAGGAGTATCAGTAACTAGTTGCGCAGATGCAAGTTTACCTGCGAGAGAGCCATGAGTGCGAGTATACAGGAAGGTTTCGCCGTGTTGAGGGTTCAAGGAGACAGGGTTTTATATGCGAGATCTGCGGACAACAGCATTGAAATATATCCTTGAGTGCCGACATTGCCATATCAGAGTCTGTGAAATATGCCGACGGAATCGCCTTTAATGCGATAATTAGGAAGGAGATTATCAAAAGCTATGAACTATATGGAAGAAGATGTCGATGGAAGAGTGTGGTGCTTGATAACCATATGACTGCCCATGTTCACAGAAAGTGCTGTTTCGTTTTCTTGTCCAGATGCAGATTTAAATGTGTCATAAGATGTGAACATCTCTGCTTTGTCGGATTTCTTCATCTTTCGGTCATATTTCATGTTTTATTCCATGGGACAGAGCTGCTATCTCGCGGAAGAGGGACACCCAAAGACCTTTCTATAGTCACCCCTAAAGCATAGAGGACAATGCATACAAAGGTCTCTTCTAAACATCCCCATAAAAACATAGAGATTTTGGACTACCGAACAACCATGCTGGCAGTCCTTCTATCCAGATAAACGATACGACGGCAATCTATCTTCCTTTCAACCCAAATTCGTCGATGAACAGAACCTTACAGAACACGTAATCTATGACTCCATGCAAAAGTGCCGATGAATCGCGCTCCATATCAACTTCGGTCCTAAATAATTGTTCTAAGCAAGAGAGTCACGAGAAATTGCCTTTTTCCCAATTCCAGGTATGCTAGAGGTTGTATGACTGGTGTTCTATCCGCTGCGCTGTGAGCTAACTCGATGTATCTTATAATAGCAGTTTGAACTGATTATATGAACCAAGATATGCTGCTTCGCTACATATTGAATCTCACGAGAATGGCCACAGAGATTTCAATCTAATCTTCGTTGCAAACCGAACCTGGTTCACGCGGATATCGAGTCGTGGATTCCCAAGCTCGGGAATCGCGCCATGGTCTAGGAGTAGACGCATGACTTCCTGTTTGCTTTTCTGGGCGGCCAGGTATAAGGGCGTACGGTCGTCTTCGTTCTTCCAATTCACGTCGACACCGGCGTCAAGCAATCGTTTGGTAAACTGTATACTGATGGTCCTCGATGCAATGGCATAGTGAAGAGCAGAAAAACCCCAATTGTCAAGTGCGTGAGGGTCAGAATCTCTGTCCAACAATTCTGTCGCTACCGCCTCTTGCTCCAGGTAAAGAGCGTACAGAAGTGGCGTGCGCCCCTGTCGCCCCTTGATATTTGTTGATGCCTCGGCGTCGAGTAAAGGCTGGATTGCAGAAACGGTCCCAAAACGGGCAATTGCGAGATGCAGGACTGTGTCACCATTGGAATTTTGCGCGTTGATGTCTTCCCGGACAGCGCGGATGGCTAGTAGTAGCTCTGACTTCTTTGTGAAATCTTCAAGGTCGCCTTTGGAGGTCGACAGGTGTAGGGAAGTCTCACGACCGGGTTCTGTGCGGATATGGGCATCGGCGCCGTATTCTAGAAGTAGTTTGACCCACTCCGCTGGGGCAGATTCTGAGGCGATGTGCAAAGCCGTGTAGCCATTGTGTAGCCTGCTGGGGCTTGCATGAGTTGTCAGAAGTGCCTGGAGCTTGACTGTACTGGCTCGGTCGAAGGTTCGAGCTGATTTGACGAAATTCCAGAGCTCTGTGGAGAAGTAGTCCTAAACATGGGTTACTCAGGTGTTGATTGTTGCGTGAGGGGCATGAAGTGGGTTGAAGTACCATATCATTGTCTGATAATGGACCCAGCTCAAACGGAACATCGGGAAAGCCAATCCATTGCGCATCATTGATTGGCGGTTGTGTTGAGTCGCCAAAGGCGCGGGAGAAGCCAGATGGATCGGCATCTCCTGGGCTAGGAGGCTCTGAGTATATTGACTCTTCGCCTGTATCTGGGATAGTCCAGTCACTTGTCAAGTCCGCTGACGCTGATGGACGAGCTTCAGGGAGCGGATCCAATAGTCTCTCAATAAACTTACGCCCCTGACGGCTGACGTGGTATTCTTTCAGATGACCGTCAGGGAATGCTGTGCGGCCCTTGGCATAGTCGCGAAGTAGCTCATACTTGCTGAACGGGGTCTGCTTGGTGAGAATGTAGTAGAGCAGGCACCCAAGTGACCAGATGTCGACCGCGCTGGTAAACGTCGAGTCTTCTTTCGTATCGTCCACGAGATGCAAGACCTCAGGCGCCATAAAACCCATCGTTCCACAAGCTGTTCGGTGCTCCGTTTGCCCTTCTAGTGCACGCTTGCTCACTCCAAAATCTGTGACCTTGACCTTCATGGGAGTCTTCTGGAAGACTAACACGTTCTGCCATGGGGTCAGATGGAACTATCGACTTGAACTCTAAGAAGTCTTCTATAGTGGACGCACCTCTGGTTTGATGTCACGATGCACAATGCCGAGACTGTGCAGCACCTCTAGGCCATCCAATAGTTGTGTGCATATATTCCGAGCCTCAGCTTCGGGAATGGGACGTGTGTAGTAACTTTTGAGGTCGCCGTAGGGGCAATATTCCATCGCGAGACAGACATGGTTCTTGTACGGGAACCACCCGATGAATTGGACGAAAAGCGGCTTGCTTGATGAGGCTTGTGTCAGCTATTGAAAGGACGTAGAAAACGAGAAAGAATAAATACTCCGTAGCTCGGGAAATTCTTCCCATGAGGTCTATCTCCGACCTATAATTGATGCTCTTGTCGGTTGTGGTGACCTGCTTGACCACCCGCAACTGACCGGACTGCGACTTCTCAAGGTATACATCTTTAGTCAGATCGTCCTTTCTATTCCATATTACCACTGTTCTCCCGTTGTCCTTCCCTGCGTCATCGGAGCTATGTTGCAGGATCTCTCTGTTGCAGCTCTCGGAAACGGCCGTCACATTTAGTCTGAAGCTTTTTGCTATTTCATCCATGGTCTGAGGAGGTGGAGGATGGACGAGGCTGAACGAGGCAAGGCTGAGGCTGAAGGTGGCCAGTCACCTGATTCTTCTGTTTTGTTCTTGTACAGCGCCTAGTTACCCCCACCGAAGATTGGCAACATCATCGCCTCCCATGGATCCTGTGTCTCTCGCTCTCTCCATCTTTGGAACCTTGGATATATGTCTCGGGTGACACACAAACCCCCTTCCCCGATATCTACTGCGCATATACTAATGATGTGTCTCGAATAGTTACGGTAAGCGCCTCGTTGAATTATGTCGCGCAATACGCAACCTCAAAAACGACCTCGCTCAGATTGCTTTGGTAATTGAAGGCGTATGGCTGAAGACGGAGGTTCAGCTGGACATATTGAGGCGTTTATTGAGAGCTGGATCGTTAGACCATACACTGGCTAGTCACTATGGGGATGCTCTCCAGCGACTGGACATGAAGATCTCAGGCGCCGTGGCGGGCTTAGAGGCTGTTCAGAAACGCTCAATTTCCAGTTCGAAATTCCCTCAAGCGGCTTGGACAGTATACCTGAAACGACATCTTGAGGAAGTGGTTAGCGATCTCGAGGAATGGCAGCGCCGGTTCGATCCGTCGTGGTACCTTATCACGTTCATTGTCAATCCGCTTGTGGACGAGCAATTAGAGTCAAAGAAGAACCAGGTCCCGTCTGCAGCCAAGCTGTTGGAATTTAGAGAAGCTGTGCAGCAGATTTCGTCGGCGAAACCCCCAACCAACGGCCCAGTCTTCAAAGACCCAGCTCTCCTTGAACCAGGACAGCATATCTCGGGCACCAGCAACTACCTTTCTCAATATGTCAATAGTAGACGGGAGGTCCTTCTCGATAGCACGAGCTACACTCGCAAATCGGCTTTGACAAGCCGAGTCCATGTTAGAGACTTAGCGCGACTTCTCTGCCTTGTCGACCCCTCAACATTTAGCCTTTTGAAATGCGACGGTGTAATCGAGGTCCGGACTGACCAAGATACCCAATTTCAATTCATATTCGAGGTTCCCCACGGACTGCAATCCCCGAGAACCCTTCGCAGTCTTCTTGCGGAACACCCACGCATTTCTCTGAGCAAGCGCGTTCAACTTGCGAAACAACTTGCCCGATCAGTCATGTTCGTGCACACCACTGGCTTTGTGCACAAGGGCATCCGACCGGAAACCATAATGATTTTCCGCAAAGATAACGAAGACATCGGCCCTTCTTTCCTTGTCGGTTTCGAGCGTGTTCGACGCGCAGAAGCCCAGACCGATAAACTCGGTGACCTGGAATGGGAAAGGAACCTCTACCGACATCCCGTGCGGCAGGGACTCTGGTCGGAAGAAGCATTCACCATGCAACATGACATTTACAGCCTGGGGGTTTGTCTTCTAGAGATGGCCCTATGGAATTCATTTGTTCGTAATGACAGCATCGGAACCACAACTCCTTGGTCGGAGCTAGCCATTCAAGATGCAATCGCAGACAAGGACGCTCGACGTGGAGGGTTTGCTATGAAACGAAAACTCGTCGCAATGGCCAAGGATCGACTTCCTGCTATGGTTGGGGATCAGTACACGAATATTGTTCTCGCGTGTCTATGCTGTCTAGACGGGGTAGACGATAATATCTTTCGCGATGTCAAAGACGATGATGATATTGTCATAGGTGTCCGGTTTATTGAGAATGTATGTTTTCTTTTCCCTTGCGTATTAAGGCCATGTACTAACCGCTACAGGTACTGGTTAAATTGGAGGAATTGCACGTATAAAATTTTTCAGCATTTGCTCGGACGCATGATCTGTTCAAGGCTGAAATCGAGCACAATACTCGCATTAGAGTAGAAAAGAGACTATATTTTGCTGTCTGAAGGTATGAATAGAGACGATGTGTACCATAAGCAGCGGTACGTGAGGCAATTCGATGTTCGGTGATATATATGCATAAAGGACACTGGCATATGATATGAAGTCCTACCCCATCACCAATTGATTCTCAAACATGCGTCTATCTATTCAAATGCCAATGTACAATATATAGATCCTCTTTTAGCCCGTGACTCCCTACCATTTGTCGGATACAGATGACATGATGATTCAAAAATTTCTGTGGTATATATCCCCTTCATCACGTCAAAGCGATTGCACCGGCACCATACTGCGACTCCTCGAACGGCTCAAGGGCCACATTTTGCCAAAGAACACACCTTCTGAACAAATATGGCCAGACGATCGTCATTTGATACAATATGGTATCTCGATCTCGCGCCTCGAATAGCTTCTCCATATCCTCAAGTGGGATTTTTGCCGTCTCCCGCATGAAGGAGTGCGTCAACCCAGTAGCTACCGCAATGGCGCACATGTGCATTATTCGGCATAATGCAGTAATCAAGTCCGAAGGTCTTGGGCCGCCATCTGGGTAGTGGAAAGGGTAATACGGCTTCAAGTCTATGAGCTGCACGAGAACGCGCACAGTATTGTAAACTGATACCGTGATTGCGTATCCCTTGTCTGGTTGTAGATCATTGTCTGTTAGTGATGTGTAGTACTTTTGTTGCCCGGATTAAATCCTTTTAAAAGGCTGCAGCATTTGAATTGGGAATCCATACCCCGACAACGGTAAGGAAGAATCTCGACAGCATACACTGTGGCCACGGCGGATAGACCGGTTGACAGCAAGATTTGCATGCAAAAACGAACGAATCGCATGCTGTCAAGGTTTAGATTCAGTGGAACTATCAGAACGAATGCCTGCAACATTAATATCCGGCTCAACAAATAATGGCGCTGCCCCCATCGGTTGTAGTCCATCAACTGGAATAAACTGGCAATTATAGCGAGAGCAAAGCCGGTGGAGGAAAACATAGCCACGACTTGATAAATGTCTGTCTTGCCTAATAAATGTTCTGTTACCTGCTCAGAGGGGATCATCAGGATCCTTACGAGCATTATTGTGACTGAGTAGATGATGGCTCGCCTGGCAGACTGACTTGCACGAGATGACTCCAATGGGCTGGTGGCGTAAATGCGATAGAGGTCACGAGCGGCAACGATCTTCGAGGGCCGAGCCTTGTACAGCGCCTGAAGGGATGATGCCATGTGGCCCTGTGCGATACATTGGTATGGAGATTCTAGGGTCATATGCCGTAATGATGAGGTGAATGATATGGCGATAGGTATGATGACGATATTGATCTGGGTCACATCTCGAGGGATTGGCATAAATACTGGCAGTAAAAGGGACCTCATAAGGAGGTCAAAGGGGCCTACTACCCTGTTTGAATGTGGTGATGTTAACAGGCAGCGCTTTAACATGGAAATTGAAGACATACAGAGGCCACAATAGCATCGCGCGGCCCCGGACCGAAGCCGGGGCAAATTCCGCGAGATGTAGAGGCATGTTAAAGGATAGTGTCGCTAATGCCACTCCGACAAATAAGCGGTCGATATTGAGGAATGTCAATTCTAGCCGTCGCGAATATTGGTTACTGATCCGGAGGATAGCAAGGCATGCTCTCATTATGGCGAGACTTGATGCGGTACGAAGCGCTTGACGTCGACCCACGCCGTTACTCAGAAGCGCAGCAAGCGGGTGCTCGAGCAGTTGGATTACAACTAACAGGACACTGCTAAGCAGATTTTAGCAAGCACACGTAAGTGAGATTGAGCTGCCCTTACCCAGGATAATGAGCGGAAGAAGGTTGCCAGAACGCAGAATACTTATACAGCGGGAGGGAGGCAATCAGAACAACACTACCAAGTTAGCCAAAGTGTCAAAAGACCCCTCGATGATCGTGCAAATAAGATTACTGACTAGAGGAGACCTGCCAGAGCGCAAAACAACGAAATATTCGACCACGACAACTCCACTTTGTCATCTTGCAATGCGGTTATCTCGTCGTCGGTCAGTCCATCGACACGAGCGTAGTCGTGGGGATCGTAGGATAAAAGAGCGCCCTTTCTGATCAAGTCTCGGGAATCGTGCAGATTGTATTTAGTCACGAACTCGTCGGCTCCGAGAAGTATCTCTGCTTTGTCTAACGGAGTTGCAAAGCTTTGTTTGTCAGTCTTCAGCAGCCAATCACAGAGATAAGGCTGGAGTAGTAGTATACCTCATCGTGGTCGAGTTGTCTCCAACAGTACTGGAGCAGTAGAAAGGTTGAAGTCACGGTAGATTGCGAGTAAAGAGTAGATACACTCGTGTTGCCTGATCACTCCGCCTCACTTCCCTCCAGCTTACGTACTCCCAGCCTCGTCCAGTGAAGCAGCCTGAGGAAGAAGCAATTCTTATTCCTCGGTAACATCATCTTGGTACCTGATTCTTACTCTTCCGGTTAAATGAGATTGACTATCCAGGCAAATTTCTAGTCCACCTATGTGGAAAGGACACATTCTCGGACGCTCAGCAATAATCTGCTCGCATCAACCGTATTGCGTTCTTGCAGCTGAAAATATGCGATAGAAAGAAAGGTTGTATCTCGTGCGGGGTCTCTCATGCAAGGCCAAACTTAATCTCGATGCTTACTATCCAGAAGGATCCTGGCTGACAATAACTAGTCTCAATTAAGTTATACTGCAGAATAAAGATACAAACGTTCCCGTCCTAATGTGCCCAGATCTTTTCATGCAACCTGCTCGAAATACTTTGAAAGATCTGTATCCTTCATCAGACACTCATACTCCGAATCCGGTGCTTGTACAAGAACCTCAAAAATCCTTGTATTTTTCTCAGAGAAATTTGGGAGAATTACTACGCATGTCCCTGGGATCTTTATCTGTACTTAAAATACTACGAGTCTTATTACTGTACTTGAATTATATTTAATTATATTCTCTGCATATTAAATATTTATGAATAGATCTATATTTATTAGTTAAGATATAGTTTATTAAGATTATTTATTCAGAATAGTTAACTATTCGGTCTCCTGCTCACCCCGTGCTTAGTAATCATCTCAGACTGCTCAGAGCGTGCTCAGATATACTCAAAAAAAATAGGCCATCAATCCTCCTAGAAAATCTTGTAGATATGTTAACATTATAGTAAATTGTGTTTCTCCTTGCTGTTATAAGACCTATTTCATCAAAGTTCCGTGATATATATTTTATCAATGATGAGCATTACAATTGTGAGTATTATTGCCCCCCCCCCCAACCCGATTACTACTACACGTTTATATCTATGGTCAACAACCAATGATAATCAAATAAGTACAATTGTTAGTAACGACTTTGAAACTTTACACACTATTCGATTCCCATTATATACTCCCTCACCACGAAAGCTAGCGGCTTTAGTGTGACTGATAAGGCCCATACGGTAATGAGTGAAACTAACTAAAGTAGCACTAGTAGCAGACCTCTCCAGTCCTTGATGGAACATACTACTCAACTGTATTCAGATACTGAATGAGGCGACTACACCAGTGCTGCAATAAATCCGACGTATCAGGTTTGCATTTCCTACACCCCCATATGCAGATCTATATGCTCATAGTATAAACTGGAAGATATATATGCATCCAACGAACCAATACCACCCAATGAAAGGTCATAAAACATCATGAGATCATGTGCATTCCAAAACGAAAACGAAATAAGATCGACTTTTGTGTTTTTCCCATAGTAGCCCAATTATCTCCAAAAATGCTTGCATGCATATCAGAAAGAAAAAATAGCGTTCAAATCTGCTTCATCACTCATTTCTTCTTCCTCGACGACGAAGAGACGAGACGTTTCTTCATATGCTTCGGCATCTTATTCGCGCGCTTCTCGCGCTTCTCCTCCTTGACCTTTTGCTTGTGGTCGCGCTTCTCGTCCTTATCTTCGAATCGCTTACCGCGGGGCGCCTTCTTCGCGAAAGGATCTTTTTCTCCGTCTTCCGAGTCGGATCCCTCATCGACAGATACGCCACCGTCAGAGCCAGCTTCAGAGCCCTCTTCCTCTTCATCCTCATCATGGCCCTCTGCCTTCTTCTTCTTCTCGCCTGCGAGAAGATCCCGGTAAACGAGGTCATCGCCCTTACCGGCACGGACTTGCTCAGCGTCACGCTCAAAGTCGTACACCTGTTCCAGGGTTTGAGGGATGTATTGTTGACGGAAGACGGCGGCGTCGACTTCGGTGTCGCCTTCGGCGTTGTCATTGCGGGTGGCGAAGAGGTGCTCGATGGCTTCAAGCATTGGCTCTGCGGGTGTGACGGTGGTAGGGCCATCGCTGGAGATGACGAATTCGAAGACAGCCCGTTCGGTGAGGACGTCGACGTTCTTGCGACGGAAGAAGTCGCTGATGTTCTTGATATCCATACGCAGGAACTCCAAACTGCGGGGGTGGTCGTGTTCGACACTCTGACTGACATCGATAATGTGGAGCTTGTTCTTGTGGTAAAGCATGTTGTATTCGCTCAGATCGGCGTGGACCAGATGGCAGGTCTGGTACATCACGCGCATGTAGCCGAGCAACTCCATGTAGATATCGCGCCACTTGGCATCGGGGTCGGGGATGTTGAACTCAACGTCCTTGAGTCTAGGAGCGGCAATACCCTTGGAGTTTCCGACAAAGCCCATGACCAGGACGTGGAGGCGCAGGTGGATGGGTTCGGGGCAGGGGATGCCGGCAGCGTAGATACGGCGCAGGTTACGCATTTCCTTCTCCGCCCACAGCTTGACCATTGCCCGGTTGTTGCTCTTGCTGTATCCTTGTCTGAAACGGAATTCACCAGTGACATACTTGTCTCTGTCCTTGAAGACCAGGATGCTCGTCTTGTAGACCTTAATGGCGCGGTGGAGGGGCGTCTCCTCGTTATCGGGGTATGAGATGGAGTAGTAGACGTTGGCTTCTTTACCGGTCGACAGACATCCGTGAATCTCGGAGACAATCTCTCGGTTGATCATCTGTAGCAGGATCATACGTGTGCGGGGATCCAGCACCTGCTCGGAGGTAGCGCGGTCCGCCCTGTCGCCACCCCGATCACCACGGGTCGCCATGCCTGACTGCATATCGTCCAACTTGATCTTGCCGGCATGTTTCGTCAATGACTTCACTTGATCGTCCACGGAGGCGCGAGTGTTGACAGACGGTTTCTGGGTGTTCGTCTTCGGTAAGGTCCACTTGGGAGTGTTGGGGTCCGCAGAGAGCTCGTTCGTTTTGCGCTGGCGATTGTAGGATTTCGTAAGATCGGCGGGGTTCGACGAGGTGAAGTCTTCTTCATCGAGTTCTTCCTCAAAGATATCATCGTAGTAGTCATCCTCTTCGTCTTCGTTTTGTTGCGCCGCAGAGTCTTGCCCCGCCATAGCGGGGAGGGAGCCGTCTGGGTTGACATATCCCTGGTTGGGGATATAGGTGTGCGCCGGGTTCAAGCCATCAGCCAAGCCAGACGCTTGCGCGTCAGCATTCGGAGCAGCCATGACTGAATGTAAAGGGGTGAAAATCGAATGTGTGTAGAAGCGAAGTCTTGCAATTGATCTGAAAAAAACGGGTACCTTTTGGGTGTGGGACAGGCAGATGGCTCACCGCCCGGCAGAACCCCGCGGGCTTCCCAAATGGAAGTAAACGCGTGCAAAAGATCCGGAGCTGATCGCCTCGATAACGCGTGGCTCTCCCCCAAAGTCAGCTTCGTCGCATGTCAAGCATCGACCCCAGCAACCTCCGTGCGCATCCATCCACCTCGCCGCCCTGCTCCGTCTAGTCAGGGCCTAGGCTCCTGATATCTTTCGCCTCGGGCGCGTGATGACTGGGTTGTTGTAATTGCCCCGATTCCTCGTGTCGCGCGTGCTTCGTCAAGATGTACGTTAAACAGATCATTATTCAAGGCTTTAAAAGGTATCTTGCGAGAGTGTACCCATGATGCTTCAGTGCGCCTTCCGGCTGACTGCAATTGCCTTACAGCTACAAGGACCAGACGGTCATCGAGCCATTCTCCCCGAAGCATAATGTCATCGTAGGTCGCAATGGCTCCGGAAAGAGTAACTTCTTCGCGGCCATTCGTTTCGTCCTCAGCGATGCTTACACCCACCTGGGCCGAGAGGAACGCCAGGCCCTTCTTCACGTGCGTATCCCGTCGCAAGAACCAATACTGAGAGGCTTACAAAAGGATAGGAAGGTTCGGGGTCCGCTGTAATGTCGGCTTACGTTGAAATCATCTTTGACAACTCTGACGATCGGTTTCCCACTGGCAAACCGGAAGTGGTCCTTCGCCGCACCATCGGACTGAAGAAGGATGAATACACGCTTGACCGCAAGAATGCGACGAAGTCCGATGTGATGAACCTGCTCGAATCTGCCGGGTTCTCCCGTTCGAACCCCTACTACATCGTGCCTCAGGGTCGTGTCACGGCTCTGACTAACATGAAGGACTCTGAACGTCTCAACCTTTTGAAGGAAGTCGCGGGAACTCAGGTATATGAAGCGCGCCGCGCGGAGTCATTGAAGATTATGCACGAAACGAACAACAAGCGATCCAAGATCGACGAGCTACTGGACTTCATCAACGAGCGTCTTGCGGAGCTGGAAGAAGAAAAGGACGAGTTGCGAAACTACCAGGATAAGGACAAGGAGCGCAGATGCTTGGAATACACAATCTACTCTCGCGAACAACAAGAAATCTCCAGTTTCTTGGACAGTCTTGAAGAACAGCGTCAAACCGGCGTCGAGGACACCGATCTCAACCGTGACCGCTTCATCCAAGGAGAGAAGGAAATGGCCCAGATCGATGCTGAGATTGCCGAATGCAAGCAGCAGATCGAGTTCCTGAAGGTGGACAAGGCACAGCTGGAGGATGAGCGTCGTGAGGCCTCCAAGGCCCTTGCACAGGTGGAACTGCAGGCAAAATCACAATCGGACAATCAAGTCGCCGCTCAAGCCTCGAAGCTACGCCGCGACGAAGACCTGAAGGCCGTTCAGAGTGCCATCCAGGAACGTGAGCAAGAGCTGCAGCAATTGATGCCCCAGTTCAACGCCGCCAAGGATCAGGAGGATACTGTCAAGACGCAGCTTACCGAGGCAGAGACCGCCCGTCAGCGACTATATGCCAAGCAAGGTCGTAACTCTCGCTTCCGTAACAAGAGTGAGCGCGACAAGTGGCTGCAAGCAGCGATCAAGGATAACTACGCTTCTATCACTTCTGTCCAAGGTGTATTGGCACAGACACAGGAGGATATCAAGGAACTCGAAAACGACATAGCACTTCTGGAACCGGAGAGCGAGCGCTTGCGCAAGCAGATCGATGGCAGAGGCGACACAATCCATTCTGTCGAGCAGCAAGTGCAATCTGCGAAGGATGAGAGAGACCGGCTGATGGATCAGAGAAAGTATGTATTCCGTGATGCTCTAACCGTTTACTATACCATGAATGTGATTAGCTGACGATGTGCTAGGGAATTGTGGAGAGAAGAAGCTAAGCTGGATTCGATCTTGTCGAATGCCTCCCACGAAGTGGAGCGTGCCGAGCGCAATTTGTCCCAGATGATGGACCACAATACGAGCCGTGGCATTGCTGCTGTCCGGAGAATCAAGCGCCAGTACAACCTCGAGGGAGTGTATGGCACGCTAGCGGAGCTATTCGAAGTTAGTGATAGGTACCGGACCTCTGTCGAGGTCACAGCGGGCCAGAGTCTGTTCCACTATGTCGTCGACACGGATGAAACCGCCACGAAGGTGCTCGAGATCCTTCAGCAGGAGAAGGCTGGCAGAGTTACTTTCATGCCCTTGAACAGACTACGATCTCGACCCATCAACATGCCCAGGGCAAGTGACACGATTCCTATGATCGAGAAGCTTCAGTACGACTCCAAATATGAGAAGGCATTTGTTCACGTGTTTGGAAAGACCATCATCTGCCCGAACCTTCAGGTCGCCTCCCAATATGCCCGCAGTCACGGTGTCAATGCAATCACTCCTGAGGGAGACCGTTCGGATAAGAGAGGTGCCCTTACCGGTGGTTTCCACGATTCACGACAGTCCCGCCTTGATGCAGTGAAGAACCTCGCTAAGTGGAGGGATGAGTATGAGACCAAGAAGAACCGTGGTTCTGAGATTCGAAAGGAGCTCGAGCAGCTGGACCAGCTCATCACGAGATCGGTCGGCGAGCTCCAGAAGCTGGAACAACAGAGACACCAGGTGCAAAACAGCAGTGGACCTATGCGGCAAGAGCTACGGGCCAAGCGCGACCTTCTGCAGAAGAAGAATGACAACCTTGATGCGAAGCGACGGGCGCTTCGCAACATCGAAGGCAACCTGGCAGCGGTGACTGACCAGGTTGGCGCATACGAGGCGGAACTGTCATCGCCTTTCCAGAAAGCGCTCAGCAATGAAGAAGAGGCGCGCTTAGAGGAGCTCAACAACACAGCTCAAAATCTTCGGCGACAGTACCAGGAGCTTTCCAGCCAGCGCAGTGAGCTCGAGGGAAGAAAATCCATCCTCGAGGTCGAATTGCGCGAGAACCTGAACCCCCGCCTTGACCAGCTTGTCGGCCAGGACATGGATTTGGCAGACGACGACAGCCAAGGCAACCTGAAGGAGACACAGCGCGAAATGAAGCGCCTTCACAAGGCACTGGAGAAACTCGGCCAGCGTCTCCAGCAGGTTGACGAGTCCATCGATCAGGCCAACGCTCGCGTGGGCGACCTGCAACAGAGGAATGCAGAGACACGGCGAGAGCTGGAAGAACTGGCCAAGTCCATCGAGAAGCACCAGCGGCGCATGGAGAAGAGCATGCAGAAGAAGGCTGCCTTGACGAAGCAAGCCGCTGAGTGCGCTTCCAATATCCGTGACCTGGGAGTCCTCCCAGACGAGGCTTTTACCAAGTACAAGAACACCGATTCTAATGCCGTGGTCAAGAAGCTTCACAAGGTCAACGAGAGTCTCAAGAAGTACTCCCATGTCAACAAGAAGGCGTTTGAGCAATACAACAACTTCACCAAGCAGCGAGAGGCGCTGACAAGCCGAAGGGAAGAACTCGAAGCTTCCGAGAAATCCATCGACGACCTCATCAACGTGCTCGACCAGCGAAAGGACGAGGCCATCGAACGAACCTTCAAGCAGGTCTCCCGCGAGTTTGCCAATGTCTTCGAGAAGCTCGTCCCCGCTGGCCGTGGACGTCTGATCATCCAGCGTAAGACTGACCGCGCCCTTCGGCAACCAGACGAAGTCGATTCCGAGGACGAGGAGGCTCGCGAGAGCGTCGAGAACTACGTTGGAGTAGGCATCAGCGTCAGTTTCAACAGCAAGCATGATGAACAGCAGCGTATCCAGCAGCTCAGTGGTGGACAAAAGAGTGAGTGACCACCGTTCTTATATTGATCAATCCTCCCTACTAACCCATCACCAGGTCTTTGCGCCCTCGCCCTAGTCTTTGCCATCCAAGCCTGCGATCCCGCCCCTTTCTACCTGTTCGACGAGATCGACGCCAACCTCGATGCCCAGTACCGAACTGCCGTGGCCCAGATGCTCAAGTCTATCTCCGACTCGACCAACGGCCAATTCATCTGCACCACTTTCCGACCCGAGATGTTGCACGTAGCCGAGAAGTGCTACGGCGTCAGCTTCCGGCAGAAGGCTAGTACGATTGACGTTGTGTCGAGAGAAGAAGCCTTGAAGTTCGTGGAGGAGCAGAAGTCGTGAAAATAGCGCCGTGGTAGTTCCAACTGATGTGCTGCTGCTTTAATGATGACCTGGGATGTTGGGTTGCAGGCGTATATGATTTGATGGGCTTCTTATTTGTTCTTATCTAGTTTTGCCTTCTGATGTTGTCTGAGACAAGCGCACGATGAATGGTGACACTTGTGTGGCTTTCTTAGTTTATACTGCTGCCTCTGTTATGTACGCTACAGGTCCGGTCGATTTCTTTTTCGATTGATTCGAGATTCCCAATCTTAAGTTCTTCTTTTCAAGTTCTATTGGCGTTTTATCCAATTGCGTCTGTATTGATCTATCTCGTGAATGATGTCTTCGCTCCTCCACTCATCTATCTGTCTTAACTATCCCCATCCTGTATATCAAAACCTCACATCAACTGCAAAATAATTACCGCGTAACCCCCTCCTCCCCGGTCCACTCAACCAACAACCTCTCTGACACATCCCTGACCAAGACATGAACATGTTCTAAACTCCTGACACTCTGCAACGCCGCCCAATTCTTAAACCACAGCACCCGATCCCTCGCCTCCGCCTCACTCACCCCTTCATCCCTCACCACTGCATCCACAAACGTCCTTTGCACAAACGCCTCGATCAACGCCCGCGACTCATCCGTCACGTCCCCGTTCTCTTCCTTAACGGCCACGGGGGTCCGCAACCACACTACAATATGCGAGATCCCCGGCGCGAGACCGTAGGGCCAGTCGTTGCGCAGGATCTTGTAATCGGATGGGTCTGCGAACGGGATGGGGTTTTTGTAGGGGAAGGAGCTGGTGGTGGTGCTGGTTTCTGTGCTTGTGGTGATGGAGGAAGTTGGGGTGGATGTGGATGGGGTGGTGGTAGTGGATGATGAAGATGGGGAAGAGGGGATAGTAGCAGTCCAACCTAGACGCTTCTGGCAGATGTAGTTTGTGATAGAGCCGTATTGTTGCTTGGTTTTATGTGACCAGGATAGGTAGCGGGTTAGATCGGAGGGTTTCCGTTTTAGGATGCCGAGATCGTTGCGTGCTGGGGGGATCGGGTTAGTTAGGAGTAGGTGTAGGTAGGGAGGGTTTGGTTGGGTTGCGGGGTAAAAGGGGAAGAGAGAGAGAGAGAGAGAGTTTAGGGTCAGGGACTGGAATGCGGAACCATTGGGTATTGGTTGATAGATGGATGGAATGATCGAGATGGATTCGAGGAATGGATGGATGGATGGATGGTAGGAGGGCGCGGGGGAGGGAAGGTGAGCATGTGAGGGGTAGGATAGTAAGAGTAAGTAGTTCTCTCTTCCTCTCTCTCTCTCTCTTTGCCTCTCACTCTACTGTATGTTTAACCACCCAAGGGAGATTCTGGATAGTGGAAATCACCTACCGATGATGGACTTGAGATCCTCCCAGTCATGAAGCACAAACTCCTCGTCGGTCTGCGCGAGAACTTGACGATCAACCTCGGTCAGGTTGAAGGCCGGAGGTTCCTCGGAAGCCATGGCTTTTTGTCGGCCGGTTTAGATGTGTCTATGAGACTGTGTGAAAGAAGGATTGACTAGACTAGCGGACAGTTGATAGGCTCCACTGAAGGATCAGTTGAGCTAGCTAAAGAGGACGGAATTATTTGTCGAGATAGGAAAAAGAAGAAGAGCGAGGGAATTGTGAACGAAGAAGGGAATGGTTACCCCAGGAAAGCAAATCCCCAACGGGACTGATTCCGCGCACTATATGAGTTGGCTTGTTCACATGCTGACTGTGTGAGACTTCTCCGCACTTCGGAAATGTGATTGATATTGCCATGATATTTGTTGATTATTCTCTGGTCATCGTGGTTATAATCAATTCATGACAGAAGTTCATATTCCTTCTATTGTACTTTAATCATTATCTCCATCGATAATCAATTGATTTTGCCTCAACAAACTTATCGATAAGCCGATCCAGTGGCCCGATCGGGACTGTCTTCCCGTGACCGACACCGAAAATTACCGTCACAAAACCCGACTCTCTCCTCATCTCCTCACATCCTCTCCCTCTCATTACTTACCTCTCCCTCCTCCTCTTCCCTCTTCCCCCCCTCATTCCTCCCCTTTGCTCCTTTTCTGTTTTCTATTCCTTTTCAAGTTCCCTAGGGGTTGCTGGAGTAATTGCCAACATGAGGTATGTGCGCGTGCTACTCGCTCCGCGATTGACGGGTGGCTAACAAAAGTTATCGCAAAACAGTGCTTTCTCCCCCGACAACATTACCGGGGCCTTCATACCCTCGGCCCTCTTTGTCGCCGGAACTTTCTTCTTCAAGCAGGAATTGACCCCCTTTGCCGTCGCTCTGGCCGCGGTCCTGGTCGGCTGGAAGGTCTTCAACAACAGTATGTACAGGAGTCGCCGATCGTATGACTTTACTTGCGGTCTTCTGACATGTCCCAACAATTTCTTTAGAGCCCAGAAAGGTCCTCAACCCCGGTGATTTCCAGCACTTCACCCTGAAGGAGAAGAACGACATTTCCCACAATGTCACTGTCTACCGTTTCGCCTTGCCCCGTCCTACCGATATCCTGGGTCTGCCCATCGGTCAGCACATCTCGCTTGCCGCCACCATTGGCGGTAAGGAGGTTGTCCGCTCCTACACCCCCATCTCCTCCGACAACGAGGCTGGTTACTTCGATCTCCTTGTCAAGGCCTACCCCCAGGGTAACATCTCCAAGTACTTGACCACCCTGGAGGTTGGTCAGACCATGAAGGTCCGTGGCCCCAAGGGCGCCATGGTGTACACCCCCAACATGTGCCGTCACATTGGTATGATCGCTGGTGGTACTGGTATCACCCCCATGTACCAGATCATCAAGGCTATTATCCGCAACCGTCCCCGTAACGGTGGAAACGACACCACCCAGGTTGACTTGATCTTCGCCAACGTGAACCCCGACGATATTCTCATGAAGGAAGAGCTCGAGCAGCTGGCCAAGGAGGACGACGGCTTCCGCATCTACTACGTCCTCAACAACCCCCCCGAGGGCTGGACCGGTGGTGTTGGTTTCGTCACCCCTGACATGATCAAGGTTTGTTGAATCTTCAGTCAGTGTCTTCCAGCACGGCCCACTAACTGAACCCTTTAGGAGCGCCTTCCTGCCCCCGCTAGCGACATCAAGATCCTGCTCTGCGGTCCTCCCCCCATGGTTAGCGCCATGAAGAAGGCTACCGAGTCTCTCGGATACACCAAGGCTCGTCCCGTCAGCAAGCTCGAGGACCAGATCTTCTGCTTCTAAGGCAGCAAGGAGAAATGACTTCTTTGAGCGAATTGGCAGATAACATAGATTGTCTCTGCCTCACAGATTCCGGTAATTGATAGATTGTCGATAGAAAGGCCCGTTACGGGCCGACCGTTGGTCATCTGGGTGCTTGATAAACGGTGTCATGAGTCAATGCGAGAAGACCAAGAACTTCCATTTCGGATACAACATACATGATATTATTTGCAGAGCGCGCGTGCGTCAAACAACATCTTTTTAGGTATTGTATGATTACGTCTATCAAGACTGCTGTACTTCCACCATCGAATCCACCATAGCCAGAAACTTCTGTTGGTATTCGTCGGCCGTCGTCGTAATTGTCATTGGCCCCTGGCGACCAATGACATTGAATGTCTGAATTACCCCCGTCATGGCCTGGGCGTGCAATTTGTGTCTTGCCCAGAAGAAATCCAACAACACGGCACGATACTTCCATTTGCCATCCGCAGACTCTACGCCGATGCGCCACGGAGCATGCCTACCAACAACCTCGGGCTGCGAGGAGGCTGGAAACCGTATGAGGAAAAGAGAGTAATCAACTGCATTGGACGAGCGGAGAAAGTCCGTGTCAGCTTTCAAGACTTGCTTCAGGGACTCGTATTGTTCTTGCGACAGCCGGATCTTGTCGTCAAATTGATCAGCAAGCTTCCGCAATGTGTCTTCGCTGACCAATGGTTCGGGCACCAAGTCCCGCTCTGGATAGAAATAGTCAATGGGCTTAAGATCGTATTTCTCCCATTGATCGGCGTTTGGGTCCTCGGTCTTCCCGTACAGAATATTATCCATGATGATGTGATGGGCTGGCGTGGACCCTATCAGGCTCCCGACCGTCTGATATGGTGCATATACATAGTCTGTAATCCATACCAATAAAGAATCGCGATGGGCACTCATATATTCGTAGTATGGCTCGAGCAAATCCTCACGGAAGAAGGAATGTTCAGAGTGACGGGGGAGGCTCTTGACGAGAAACTTGCCATTGGAGGTCTGAAAGAAGGTCTATCAAAGCATTCCATTAGTACACCCGCACTTTCCATGATCTTCTGATTGTGTTCATACCGATCCTGACATCCCAAGATCGCCCATTGGTTTCAATGGGACAGTCTTCTTCTCATCTCGGAAGCTCGCCTTGTACTCGTTCTCGTCAATCTCCCACGTCTCGCTGCGCAGCTTTCGAAACAGATGGCTCCCATATCGGAAAAGCTTGATGTAGAAGATGCTGAAGAAGGCTAGGATGCGCCCTATGAGGGTCTTCCGAAAGGTGGCTGGGTCGCGGAATAGGGCGAGTTGGATAGACTTGGATAGGGCCTTTTGACGACGACTACTACCCATGGCCGCGGAGGATATCGATGATAGAGAACGAAATAGATCGTTGATGATGGGACATGGCTGTTTGGAGGCTTAATATGGAATTAAGAGAAGAATGGCCAGGTTTGGGACACGAGGTTGCGTTGCTGGCGCTGCACAGAACCGTGACGTCAGAGAAGGGGGTGGTCTCATATCCGCTCACATGACCATACATGAGGGTTTGAGAGAGAAGGGGAGAGATCAGGGTTAGCAGCAGTCAGATGATCTGTTTCTCACGTGACTAGATTCGATGAGTCATGAGGGAGTGCTCACCGCCCGGGCAGTATGGGCGATTGCCGAATGGAGGCTAAAGAGCAAAGAAAAAAGTCCCCCTCCAAAGCGAGGCTCTCGATTCCCCTCCATTTATGGGTCGCCATCTGGTAAGCGGGGCACGCCGATTTTCCAGCGGCATTTTCCAGTCTGTCCGCTCATACTACACACAAAATAGTCGCTGTTCCTGCGCCCGCGGTGCTTTTTCTTCGCCTCTTTTAAATCCCTGGCGCTCGTCTTTTTCCTCTGCGTCGCTTTTGAAGAACAAAGCTGCCGCCATGACGTCCGCCTCCGACCTCGCTGTCTCCGTTGAGGGACTCTCTATTCAGTCGACCTCCGAGACCTCCAAGTTCCCCAACTGCTTCCCCTCCCTGAACCCCGTCGACGTCTACAGAGAGCACATTGCCGAGGAGCTGGCCAAGATCACCGGCTTGGACGCGGAGAAGATCTTCTCCCGCATCGCATGGACGAACTCGTTGGACAAGGGTGACCTGGTGTTGCCGGTACGCGACTTCTAAAATCACAATTGGATGAGTTCCATAGGGCCACTTGACACCAACTAACGTAATATGTTTTCTCTAGGTCCCCTCCCTTCAGATCAAGAAGAACCCCCAGGAGCTGTGCAAGGAACTCGTCGAGAAGTTCCCCGAGTCCGACCTCATCCTCCCCCCCGTTGCCTTCGGCCCTCACATGCAGTTCTTCTTCCGCCCGGAGCGCCTCACCAAGAACGTCGTTAGCCGTATCTTGAAGGAGAAATCTGCCTTTGGTACCAATGGCAACGTTGGTCTGCGCGACCCCGCCGACCCCTCCAAGGGTCGCAAGCGCATCATCGTCGAGTTCTCGTCTCCCAACATCGCCAAGCCCTTCCACGCTGGTCACTTGCGCAGTACCATCATTGGTGGTTTCCTCGCCAACCTTTACACGGTCATGGGATGGGACGTCATCAAGATGAACTACCTTGGTGACTGGGGTAAGCAGTACGGTCTGCTTGCCAATGGTTTCAAGATGTTCGGTAGCGAGGAGGAGCTGACCAAGGACCCTATCAACCACCTGTTCAACGTCTACGTCAAGATCAACGGCATCGTCTCCGAGCAGGAAGGCCCCATCAAGGAGCTCAAGGAGCAGATCAAGGCCAAGAAGGAGAAGGGTGAGGACGCCGCTGAGCAGGAGAAGGAGCTTGCTAAGCTTGTCGATGCCAGTGAGGATGAGAATGCCCGCCGTTACTTCAAGAGCATGGAGGATGGTAACCAGGAAGCCCTTGCTCTCTGGCGCCGGTTCCGTGAGCTCAGTATCGAGAAGTACAGACAGACCTATGCTCGTCTGAACATTGACTTTGACGTCTACTCTGGAGAGTCTCAGATCAAGCAGGAGAGCATGACCGCCGCTTACCAAACCATGGAGAAGGCCGGCGTGTCTGAGAAGTCCGAGGGTGCTGTCATCGTCGACTTCACCAAGCACGGCGCCAAGAAGCTTGGAAAGGCCATCATCGTCCGCAAGGACGGCACTCCTCTCTACCTGACCCGTGATATTGGAGCCATCCTCGAGCGTGAGGAGGCCTACAAGTTCGACAAGATGATCTACGTCGTTGCCGCTCAGCAGGATCTCCACTTGGCTCAGCTGTTCAAGATCACTGAACTCATGGGCTACAAGGATCTGGCCAGCCGCTGCCAGCACATCAACTTCGGTATGGTGCGCGGTATGAGCACTCGTAAGGGTACCGTCAAGTTCTTGGACGACATCCTCCAGGATGTCCGTGACAAGATGCACGAAGTCATGAAGAAGAACACCGAGAAGTACGAGCAGGTCGCCGACCCTGAGGGCACTGCCGACATCCTGGGTATGTCCTCCGTCATGGTTCAGGACATGACCGGAAAGCGGTACGTATATTCCTTCTCCCCATGATAATCACAAAATGCTAATGGTCACACAGTATCAACGGATACGACTTCAACCTGGATGCCATGACCTCGTTCGAGGGTGACACTGGTCCCTACCTGCAATACGCCCACGCCCGTCTTTGCTCCATTGTGCGCAAGTCCGGCCTGAATGTCGACGAGCTCGACACCGCCAACCTGAGCCTCCTTACCGAGACCCACGCCACCGACCTTGCTCGTCTCCTCGCCCAGTGGCCCGATGTGCTGCTCAACACGAACCGCACCCTGGAGCCCACTACCATCCTCACCTACCTGTTCCGCATGACTCACGTGCTCAGCTCCAGCTACGATGTGCTCAAGGTTGTTGGTAGCGAGCCTGAGCTCAAGAAGGCCCGTATGGCTCTGTACGAGTCCGCCCGCCAGGTGCTGCACAACGGTATGCGCATCCTGGGTCTCAGCCCCGTCAACCGGTACGTTAAGCCTCATATCCGCTTTATCATACACAGTACTAATGAGTCACTAGTATGTAATGGAAGCGACCATAAAAGATATACATTTAGTGTGACCAAATACCAAGCATCTTTTTCCAGCGTTCATATCACATTCAAAAAATTATCAATCACACCGTAGTATTAGGGGAAAAACTAGTATCTTAAAGCCGGAATAATACTCCGCCCCATGAACCCCGATTTGATCGACAGTCTCGTCCGAATATCAGATCATGTCGGCGTCCTAGTATCTAGAAGCCCTTTGAGTAATCACCGAAACTCAAAACCATAATCCCCGCAAGGCAGCCACCCGAGCGGGTATGTAACTTGTTAAGTAGACGCCGTCCTCGGGAAACAACAACCGCAACCACCAGTGGAGACTTTCGGCCTCGGGGACTTGACTAGTAGTCAACGTGATCGACTTTGCTTTTTTGCATTTTGCAGGTCGTAGTCTCACCAGATCTTCGGGATTCCTGCGAAAAGTTTATTTTTGGTTTCTTACAGTAAAGTTTTGGTTAGTAATTGATTATCTGTGTGGAAATTATTCTTTCAGGACTTGGCTGTCGATCACGTGGTTGGTTGGGATGCATTGGGGGGAGGCTGATCTTTGGATAAGTCAGAGTATAGATTTTGGTTATATGATCAAATGGATCTAGACTGGTAGAGTATTCTGAAAGAGAATAGATACTATTATCTCATGCGCGCTTATTCGATCCGAAGTTCTGATTTTTCATCGACATGCTTGAAGGGTCGCTTGAGAGCATGATATCGGGGTATATAGTATATATATAATATGTTGATTGAGGTAAGAGTGCCTAAAGTAAACACCAGAATTACTTGATAGTACTGCATAAATAGCCAACTACATGATCGATATTGATCAAGTACTACTATCAAGTACTCCCTTCAATGATACCAATGAGAAATAAACCTAGGAAGACTGGCATTAGTATGCACAATGGTTCAATGGGAAGTTGTGTATGATGCTACGGAAGCCAATTTACTTTCTACTATTGAGCATACTAAGTGATAACAACATTTAAGTGCACAGCGGGACTTTAGTTCACTGTCGCCACTTCGCTCTGAAGAAAAGAAGGGGCAATCCATTAGTCAAGGAAACAGAAAGCACTGCTCATCGGATGGGTATATGTTCTTGGGGAATATTATAGATCTAATTACTGAGATTCAGTGGAGGAGTGGACATTTATACTGGATTAAGAGATTCAGATGCAGATGCTTGGTATTATATGCATGCATTCATCCTGTTACTGTTCTATGCGAGCATAGCTATGGTACTTAGTAGAAGTAGGTAGGTGAGACACGACTCCTAGCATAAGGATTTATCTATCATTCCTGGTAACGGTGAATCTGTAGGATATCCAGATAGAAATACTGCTATTGTACGGTACCTATCGCTCTTCTCATTACGATAACGCCCTTAGCCCTTCTATAACTCAATTATGATAATACGAATACGCATGTTTTTCCCACTCAAGAACAGGTTCCAGCACGCAGTCCGGAACAGGAATTGACAGCATACCTACTCCACCAGGAGACCGAGCCGCTCCGAATAAAAATAGCCCCGTGTAGTCTTCCAGGTTCCTGATTCGTTTATATATGACTTTCAGACACTGTCTGACTCGTGTTGAGGGTTATTGGTTGGCTTCTCGGGTAAACAAAACCTTCAAATATCCTTAGAGGCTTTTCACTTCCTAGCGCTTGATACCTTGGTGAGAGGAATTAACCTGAATACTCATTGTAAGCTACCGTCTAGCGTGCTTCAATATATACCCGGGGTATATAGTGGTGTGCTTCAGGGGCAAATTACCTTGATTTATCCAGGTGAAGGAATGGACTAACTTGGCCGGCAGGGACCTAGTGTCAGGTAGTGGGGATGGGGTTCCAGAAGTATATATTGAAGATACACAAAGGAGAGTGGTCTGATTTGGTTGCTGTACAACAGCTTCAGTGGTGGCACTCTTAGTGTCGAATTCCCATATATTCTTAGAGGCTTAGTCGGTAGCAGTGAATAGCCTTGCGTGGTTCCAAGGGCAAGTTATCTGACATCCATGATCATTTTGTAGATGACGAGGTTGCCCGGGCTCAGCTTTGTCATTTGCGATAGTCGAGTCTAATCGTATAGTATACGGGATGCGTGATAGTAAAGCCATAACCATCAAGCACGGACGATTGACCGGTTATTTTATGGTGCGACAAGGGATCCATTGTGGCTTGCATTTGTAAGCGGAAGGCTTTAGAGACTAGCCAGTTAAGGTCTCTGCAATCAAGTTAAGTATGCTAGAAGTAAATTGCCTTTTGGTCCCTGTTTATCCGGAAATTGAATTGACCGTTG